ACACAATGTCAAAGAATGAAGTAGGATGTGGACATGGTGAGAATTTCATTCTAAAAGAGACAATTAAGTTAATATTGAAGACAAAAGTCAGCAAGACAGCAGAGCAGCTTGAGACACACACCAAGAGCTCAAGACTAGCCATGTACCACTTGTAGCACTTGTTTTGTTATCGCTACTCACCCGCAGAGTTTTAATCTGAAGCGTCCCCTGATCCTGTATGGATGTTCGGGGGTCTCTGCCCAGGAAGGTGAATCCTTCTTTTAACCAGCTGATGACAGGAAGGGGGTCGCCGGTTGCCTTGCACTTCAGCAAAGCTGTCCCATCCACTGCCAGTGTCTGATTGACCGGCCCCTGGAGGATGATGGGTGGAGGCCTATCTGTCAAGACTAAACAGTGACACACGTATTGGCATCCACACCTTTAACGATCCTCTGCTGCAGTTAGCCCTTTCCTTGACACAGTACCAATTTTTACAGACTGGTTTAAGTTAGCTTCTAAAAGGCTAAAAACATTCTTTTTGGAAGACCCACAGATACATGTTAACAATTAACTGGCATATTTGAAAAACATTTTTGTAAGAATTTTATTTCACCACTGTGAGATAACACCTAGATATATAAACTTCTGTTAGCAAAGGTCATCAGACTTATTTGATTAAGACAGGATGAAAATTAAGACGTTGATCCAGAAAAGAACTGAGGTACATCTCTTATTTCTTCCAATTTAGGAAAGCACTTAAAGCACATGCTTAATGTCACATCAAAATGTGCTTAATCGCTTACCTGATTTAGGGCCTAAAAGAGAAAATCTGTTAAAGTTCAAAGTGAAACACCGTAGCCATTCTAGCATGGGTACCAACCACATCCCCCATTCACGCTCAACTTGCAAGTTTTCATCAGCAAAAATATCTAACAATAATACAAAACATTTTTATAATCTGAGTGATCTAAATGACTGTACCACACTTTCCAGTGGAGAAAAATTCAAAGCCATTTAACAGCTTACTTATCAAATCATTTCATCACCTTTTAAGGCCATGAACTCTCTTAATTTTTTTTCCCCTAAAAATTTACATTTGCATGCTTGAAATACTGCTTAAAGGACTCCGTAACCAGTGAGCGAGTGCATGGCTGCATATAAACCAGTGGGATATCTTCAAGTGAGGTAAAATGCTCATGTTTGCTTTTCTTGAAAGACCAAATTTTCATAAATAATTCTGCTGTTGAACCTATTCTCTGAGCCATCTGTTAAGCAGCAAAATATAACTCTTTGTTTCTAAAGAATGTGTTTACACAAAATGAATGTGAAATACTTGAATATAAACAAGGCTATGATTCCTGCATAAAATCAGTATAACAGAACCAAGAATTCATTTTTATATATTTACCTGCCACACTGCTGCTGTTTTAAATCTCTGAACAACTGAACAATTATATGATTGGTGTTAAATATTATAACAGGCAGGATTATAAAAGGCTCCTAAACCAGTGTAAGTTAGTCTGCCTCCACTGATGTCAGTTGAGTTTGAATCATTTATTCTAGCTGAGAATCTGGTTCATTATAGGCCATACACAACACCTGACTCTAAAAAGGAAGTGCAAATAAATTATTGTGAAGCAATATGGTTTCTGTTGTATTTGAGCTGCTTGAGATGCAAACCTCTGGAACCTTCAACAGATCCAAAGCGCTTTCATGACGTTATTTAACAAATAAAAAATATTAGAGAGATGTTAGTGTACATTTTACACATGAAATAATTGTTTCTGAAATCATAGTGTTGCAAAAATACTAACTACCTTCTTTTGTTAACAAGATACACAAAGGATAGAATCATTAGTATTAGTAGCACCTTGGAATGTGAGTTCATCACATTTATTGAAATTGAAACTGAAAACAGAAAGCCAATACAGATTATTTATTAACACCAGAACGTGAAAGCTGTTTTGGAAATTCTGAAATATCACCCACTGAATGCAGAGATAGGACAAGAAACACTACGTTACAAGAAAAGAGAAAATGTAATGCATTTTCACCTTGATATGAAATTTTTGATCTCATTAAGGCTTCCTTATAACTATACAGTTCAGCGATTTGGTGAAATAAAAATTGATGTCAGCATACCTGCAGCACAAGTATATTCAAATGAAAACTTAGCTGTGTAAGTTTTCATTTAGATTTAACGTAGAACAGCAAATCCCAGTTTTCTAGGTAGCTAAAATTAAGGAAAAAGTATCACTTAAGCTGCTAACTATTCCATTGCAGTTATTTGCTAATTGCCTTCCCTCTGCGTAGCAATGTAGGTATTTTCAAAACCTACTGCATTCCAGATATTGTTCTTTGGCATGTAATTAGTTTTTTTACAGCCCAAATGAGGAGCTCATAATCCTTTAAATAGCTCTGATCAATAGCGTAATTGAAAGTCTCCTGGCCAGAAGGAATCTTCATTTTCAAGGGTGTTATGGGTGAAAGACCACTACAGGTTTCCATGACACTAAGGCTAAAGGTTAAATGAACACTTAGGGTTTCCACTGATCTGTGAACGACTGTATTGTCTTCACAACTATGACTTGTAAATCTTCTCTAAAACGTGTATATGTGCTTGTATTCCTACTACATAGGTCTCCTGTACAAGGATTCAAAACTCGGTTAGAGGTTTAAAAAGATACATCATAAGCATTCTGAAGAACAGAGAGATAATGAAAAATATCCACAAAAAGGTTAGGGGTTTTGTTAGTTTCTTTTACAACATATTAATTTTTTATTTAAATTTTACATTGTTTTCTCCTAGCAGGAAACTTTTAAATCCATTCTACAGAAACATTTTGTGTGGCTAAAATATATTTGCATAGTAAAAGAGAAGTTTATTTCAAAATTTAATTTTAAAAAATGGTTTGAAACTATTTTTCAGCAACCATATATTCACATATTCTGGTAACTGAAAAATTATCAGATTCCTTTTGTGATAAAATGCAGCTTAAATTTTCAGCAGAGTATCAGAAAAGAACAAATTATATTTGTCAATGAACAGTTTATTCACTGGATCAACATTGTATTGACTGAAAACATGTTTAAATTGGGGTGGAATTTTGCCAAATTACAACAGGAAATTAAAATAAGAGAATGACAAAATGAAGTCTTTACTTTGGCACTTCCAAAATCAACATTTCAAAAGTTTTCCTGGTAAATTAATGGGGAAAATCAGACACAAGTCATGAAATTCTCATGATGAACACTAACATGATAGGGCAGGGTGCTCTCCTGAGAGGTGAAAAAGCAGAGACCAACCTTTTCTCTGTCTTTTTTGTTGAAGGGCTTCACAGGAGGCTGTGAAGTTGTTCTGGATCTCTCCTGTTTGAAACTGTCACACTTGCTATAAAACACGTAATATACATTTGATTGGGGACAGGAATTATGGTTGCCAGATTTGCAGATGAGTAAACTGTGAGTGATATTAAATTCTTCCAGGAGGATTTGAGAGAGACATATCCCCGAATATTCAATAGACCTATAGTCAAAAAATTGCAGAGGAGTTTGGGAAAAATGCCTGAAGTGCCTATTCCAAATCAGTGGAGAGGGAGCTGTTGAGGTATGCTGCCAACTCCTTCTCTCTTTTTTTTTTACATCTGTTCTGAATTCTCCTTATAGGTCCAGCCTTTTGCTTTCATTCAAAAGCCCAGAAATGTAATCTTTTTAATTAACTGAATATCCTAAAACATTTCATTCTTATGTTGCCATCCACTGGGGGAGGTTAAGCTTGCTCCTCCATTCCAATACTCATCCTAAACTGCAACTGCTGGGTAAACTAGCATTGGTAGGCTGATCCTACAGTTGAGCATGCAGTAGTCGAAATTTTTATTAATAAATATAAATAATGACTAGATTAGGAGAAACTGACATCTTCTCCAAAATACTCTCTGCATGATGGATAAATTCATGGAATAAATTACTAATTGTAATCTATTCTTTTTATCTTGAGCACAGACATGGTTAGATGGAAGCATTTGGTTTATTTGCATGATCTGTCATTTTAAGACTCTGAGCTGCATGTTCACTTCTTGAGTTTGAAAGGATTACTAAGATTGTCTCAATTTTTAAAATTATTTTGCTTTTCCAGTTGTGCATTAGACAGTGGATTATATGATAGCCTTTCAAGAAAATACAAGATTTGAATTTCAAATACACTGAAGGCTCTTAGCACAGTCCATAATCAGCAAAATTATCACTCAACTCAGCACATTTCATCACAGCTAGTAATCTCTTCTCATGTGAACACTTGAGTTAAAAATATTTCCAGTAAAGACTTGTAAGTGCAAAAATGTAACAACTGAAACACTGCTATATATGGTATAATTAAGCACTTCTTTTTCTGCACATGACATATGTTTTCATTCTGTATTGGAACTTCAATTGGATCTAAATTACTCTGGATCAAACAAAAATGTGTTCAAAATGAAAAAGATGGCTCACCACTATTATTAAATCATTAACCAAACAGAAAAATTCTGGGCTATGAAGTAAAACTGAAATCACCAGCCAAAAACTAGAACACTAATGCTTAAGTATATAGCTAACATGCACAGTGTTTATCTTTTATTATATTTTTTAAAACATCAAATTAGATTTCCCTACTGATAAAAATCACTAGCTTCCATAACTTCTGCTCAGCGTCAACCAAAACAGATTATTTAGACATTTATGGTTAACTTCCTAACTGAAAGCAATTAAAAAAATATCTGTGATCTAATGGTACATTTATTTATATAATCTCAGTTCCACAATATTGTTCTGGCACTTTTCTCCTGACCTCACCTGCCCTTTGACTCAAGGATGAAATGGTATTTCTATAAAGCAACCTTGTATTATTTCATAATGATCATGCTGACAGTGGGTTCTGGAAAGCGTTTGAAGAACGCAGACCCTGCATTCCTTGGGCAGCAGACCCACCAGCTAATGCTTTCTCTAGCAATGTGGAATGCATGCCGCCTTTAATCAGAATTAATTGTAGTTGAATTTGCATTTTAGCGGGGACACTTTTGTTAGCTTTCTGTTGACTTGTTAGATAAACTAACGAAAATTCCACAGAGGCCGTTAGGATTTATTATTTCCAACACCCCCCCCCCCCCCAAAAAAAAAAAAAAAGGGACCACCAGCCCTTTCTCCCCCCAAGAAATAGATAAAGATGGACCACAGGCCTTGTCTGTCAAAAGGAAGAATTTCTCATCACTAATATCCTTGAACCTGATTTGATCCTCTCGGCCCCTGTTGCAGTAAATCTGTACAGCATCAGCAGGTGCAACCATTAACAGCTCAAAGTCCTCTTAGCCAATGTTTGTGTGTTCTATTTATTCCAGTCACAGTCACGGCACTGAATCAGGCAGCGCTATGGACAGATATTAAAAAATACTGCCTTTCCATTAATTTTAAATGACCTTTTAATCTACATTTAAATTTGAATTGAATGAAAATGCATCATTTTGTCATAGACCATGAGAGAAAGGACTTAAAGAGACTGCAGAGTGAAGGTTAGCCTTTAGTGTCCAGAAACTACCTTACAGAAAACCAATGTGCTTGTAAAGATGCAAGGATAAGGCAGAAATTATCTCCCCTTGTCATAAAAATATAGACAGCTTTTGGAAAACAAAGAAAAGGCGTCAAATTAATGCTCAATCCTCTATAACATGAGCCTGAACCTCTCTACCTGTCACTTGTGATGAATATGCTCTTGCGAAAAGCCAGATTATTCAGAATTAGACATCTTTTCAAACTTTCATGGTGCAGGCAGGTCTCTAAGGGAACAGTAAAAGTAGACCTCTGCATATAACAACAGTTTTAATGGCAAAAATTCATCAAAGTCTGTCAGGAGATATTTAATGAGTCAGTTAAGGAATAATGATGCCAGGGAATGCAACAATCTCCCAGTATAAGAGGAATTCTGTTGTTTTCTTCAGTAACATTAAAGGATGCAAACTGCCTTCTGTCCACAATGGGATGAAGAGGAATATCAACAGGATTCCTGACATATGAAAAGGATCTATGTTTGTAGGTAGAGTAAGGTAAATTTCACACCAGGATAACTTTCAAACCCAAAATTTTGAAATGGAAAGCATCAAGACAGAGCATATAGTGCTTTTCTCTTCCTTTCCTGAAAATCCTGCCTACGTATTGACATGCCTCATTTCACATCTAACCATATCGAGACATTCTGAGAACACAGCTCTGAGGTAAGGAAATATTTTGGTGCCTTATTGCCACAGGGACTAAAGGGCTACATGTTGTAGCTGTTCTAAACCAACAGTACTTCAGTAAGCTCAAGGCAACTGTGTTGATTTAATTAAGCTAAGGACACATCCCCAAACTAGCTGCCTAAGATAATACCGAAGACTGGGACTGAGGTGGGAATTGAGCCTGATTTTTCTGCACCCCAGTTCACTGCTTTAATCACAAACCTATTCATTCTTCACAATATTTTTTGCAGTCCTATCTTAGCTCTAGTGAACCGAGAAGCTTGCTTTCTCACCAACCCTATTCTAAGCTGGTTTGTACCTCGTTTATATTATTAAGGAACCTCCAGAAAGCAAGCAAAGGGCAAACTAGACTTCGATGCCTTTTTGATACCATAGAGAATTGCACAGAGACCCTTTTTTCATTGTCTTTTCTGTAGAAACTTGACTGTTTACTTGTATGAACTATGTGGTCTCGTATGCCTTTATTTACACTATTTTAAAAATACTTTTGACAGGAAAAAACAATAGGAATTTCTATATCTCACCATCAGTAACCTCCAGCTGAGCCTTTGCTAAAATGCTTCCAGCAACCGTCAGTGCTTGACAGATGTAGTAGCCTGCATCAGACCGCTGAATGTTGGTAATAGTGAGGTCTCCGGTTGGTGACACTGAATACCTGCTGTTGGGTTGGAGAGGCTGGTTTGGGAAGAGTAGGTTCTGCAAAAACAATTCATCTCACATCAATTCAAAACACAAAAGCACCACTTTTCCCTCAGCTAGAGAGACAATGATTTTTCCTTAAAAGTACTATATATAAGCTAGAAGAAAAAGTAAGTGTGGTTATGACTTTATGAACACATAGAGCTAGCTTTCCCTGCCTTGGGCAACTTGCAGTTTAAATTAGAAACAGCCCTTTGACAGCACACAGTGGTGTGTTCTGGCTGGGGGTCTAGGCGAGGAGAAATTTTCCAACAATCGCACTTGAGTGATTTGTATTTGTGACACATTCATCTTCAATCTGAATTTAATTGTAATAATGTGCTTAGTTGGCTGTCAAACCAGGAGGACACAATACTACAGTAAACATTAGAAAACTAGCAGAAAGAATTGAATCCTGGAGACTTGAGGAAGCATAGCACGATTGTTTGGCTGTGAATATGTTCTGGGCAAATACGAAAGTAAGAGCATGGCACAGAAGGAAAGCCGGGAGGAAGATACAAACAGGTCATAAAGTAGGAGAAGCTGGCAGAGCATGAGCTCTTAAAGGAGAAGTAAAAGGAAATTAAAACTGAGATATACCAAAGGAGAAAAGCAGCATGGAGCCTTGAGGGTGAAGAGAAAGGGTATAAATCTGCTGTGGAAATCATCAGAGAGAAAAAATAATTTCATGTAGGATAAGACATCAGTTATCACAAAACAGGGAGATTAGCTTTTGCCTTTGGGCTGGATTGGAGAAAAGAGAGATGTCAATAAGAATAACTGGAATGGATGTAGCAGTCATTGCATATGATGAAGGACTGAATGAATCAATAATACAGAAAAGGACAGGAAAGCTTTTAGTGGTGAGGGCTGTGTTTTCAAGGAAAAAGTTATACTGTCTGGCACAGCTCTTGATGTGAATAAAAAGGGACAGGAAAAGGGAGGCAATGTGAACAGAAAGGTCAACAGCATTGCCCAATGAGACAGAAAGGGGAATAGATTAAACAATAATTAAACAACAGTAATTCCAGTCTGGCTTTTATGTCAACTCAACAAGCCTCTCTGAAAAATACAACTGTTTGTATAAGGAATATCCCAACACACTGTTACCATGCTGTGATAAACTTTCAGTCATTACTGCAGCTCTGTATAGCTCTGCTGTGCTCTCTAATGATAACTCCCTACTAACTTTTAAGCTTGTCTATATGGGCTAAAAAGAAAATCTAAAAGTATAGAGTAGAGTATTAAATGAATTTTCTGTAGATCTGCTTCTTCTGCAGTAGACCTTAATGGTTTACAAAAAATTATTTGGAATTGACAAGCAACAAACTTGGGTTTTAAAAAAATTCTTCTTTGAAGTGAAACTCACACCTTTCTCTCTCTGGTTTTGGCAATAAAAGGAGAGGTATATGCTTTAAATCAGATCTGACACTCCAGGTATCCTTATAATTATATTAACCTACTAGGCTACTTGTCACCCTAGGGTGAGTCTTTCCCCTTACCCCCTTTCAATGTCAATGTTCAAGAAATTTTTCACAGCAAATTTTTCCTCAAAAATCAATATGCACCCAGTAAACAGGTCAGATCCAATAAGAAAAAAAGTGTGAAAATTCTGAAACAATTTCAGGCTACGGGGCTAAGTGGGTCTTGAAAAATTGCCCTGTTTTCTGAATTGCCTTGAAACTTTCAGAATAACCTCTGCCTGGCACAGATACCTACCGAATGAGGGTATTACAAAAACTCTACTAAATTTTATGAGAAAGCAGAGAATTTTGATATGGCTGAGCTTGACTCCATTTATCACTCATTATGCAAAGTGTAAAAAGAAACACAACGTAAAAGACAGTACAAGGATCAAGCTCCTAATTCTTCAGAGGAAAAAGATCCAGAATCCTCTTCATCACTGTATTAGAAAGGGGAGGCTACCCTTCATTTTACCCTCAGCATGGGCTTATCTGTTCTTGAGAGGTACCACATCCCAGTGAATATTCCACAATTCAGGAGGAGCTCATCAGTCTCATGACTCCTCCCTTCAAAGACCAGATAACTATGAATTATAACTTGTCCTAAATTACAGTACAACCGCTTTTTAAATGTTTTTACAATTTCACTGGTTTTAATTAGCTATCGGGTTGCTCATCTGGGCACAATGGTGGCATGCTGGGTTGCAAACGGGGGGACCAGAGTCATCCCTGATGTAATACCACTGAATTTATCTCAAGGAAGAATTTAATCTACAGAGTTTAAAGGTTACACATGCCCTGCCCTGGTGCATTTCATTGGCGGGCGGCTGTTAGGCTCTAGGGAAAACGCTACCGAGTACAAAGGACCAGCTGTTTATGCACAAATTGGCACAAAAAATGACTCAGGAGGGAACAGCTCCCCTCCCTTCCAGCTGGTTGTGCTCAGAAACACAGGATCGGGAAATGGATTCACAATGAAAAATGCCCTACAATTACTGGAGTGGGCTAACATGACTACATAACATTACTCTGAACACTAACAGTGGTGCTGCAAACAGTTCCTCGAGTAAAAGCAGAAGCAAGCATTGTAAAGCCAAGCAACAACTTATAGCCGGGCACACAAAGGTGAAAAGTCATGTATGTTTGGTGGACAACGCCTAATTTGGCCAAAATACCATCCCTCAGATTTGTATGATGTTATACTGTATGTGGAAACTCGCCTATTCTGTAGCGTCTCATTGCAAAATCTGGCAAGTTGTATATTGAGACGGCAACACTAACCTGTGTTACTTCACTGGTGCTCAATTAAGATTAACATGAGGGTGTAGTGAATCACATTGAGCTATGTTTCAAAGTTTGATTATAAACCATGTAGGTATCAATTTTTACGTTGCATTTATTTGCCAAAAAAGACCATTCTAACCCTCAGGGATCTGGTTCTCAATATGGTAATTAATTTTCCAGGTTTGTAATTAAACAGCTTCAACATGCTACAATCAGTAGGTAATAACATTCAATTAAAGACACAAGATGCATTTTCACCTTAAAATGTTTTTACCCTTGAAGTGATACCAATGGAAGAGGATAAAATAGAGTATTAACACTTTTCAATTACGCTAAATGACTTTAATCCTGCAAATGATGTCCTACTTTAATTAGAAGCTCTTCTCTTTATTACAGCATGATGGATGTCCACTTTATTAGATTCAAGTGTGACACTATAAGCTCACTTTACATAAACATTACCATGTTATTAAAATGCTCTACAAGGAAGGGTTTTGAAATGTTTGCTAGCACATCAGTACTTCCTACTTTAATTTCAATATGCTATTCTACTTTCCCCTTGGAACAATTTTCAACTTAGTGAGACTCACAATACTGTGCTTTTCCAGGATGTGATCCATGGAGGCTAGATTTAAAGTTCTCCAAATAATACGTTGAAAGAAACACACTGAAGACTAAGCTTACACTCATAAAGTAATAGTGTTGTATCTTTGTAAGCCACAAATGCAACAGAGCGCAAAACACTGTCAGCCTTGGTCCTGTCATTCTGGACCAGTTATCTGACCTCATGAGAAGGTGAAGCAGAAGCAGGTGGGGCAGAGCGGGAGGTCTGCGGTTCAGTTCTTATTTCACTTTTTAACTGGGCTGGTACACACAATGCCTCCAGATAGACAAAAGGTGCATGTTCACTGCACAGCACAGTGTGGATACTTGAGTCAACTCACATATCGTCATACGGGAGAAGTTAGCACAGGGCTCTGAAAAGACTAATTTAGTCAATGGAGACGGGTACGTAGTATAGGTACATAGACAGATGTAGCCATGACAGGTTTCATCAGGGAGCTGCAGAAAGCACTGTCCTTGGGCATCCGTTTGCCCCTTTTAATCTTTCCTCAGGTGCAAAAGAGAATACGGCACATACAGTGTTCAAATTTAACATACTAACATGAACTGCACGCTGAAAGTGAGGAGGACTGACTTCTGCTGTAACATAGCATCAATACAGCAACAGCAGTAAAAAAATGTTATGGCATGACATTCAAACATTAAGCTGTAGAAGCTAGTATTGGCTGATGGCAATGTTGACTGCTACATCAGAAATTTTGCTTTTAAAAAATGACAGTAAGGATCAGGGAAATATTTCCAAAACCAGATTCAGAAATTTCCTGACACGATTTTACGGAAGAAAGCATCTGCGTGTTCAAAACCTGTATCTGTATGCACTATGAGAATACGCCAATGCAAATCAGCTTGTTAGATATATATCTGCTTGATCATGTCTAGACAGGTTGTGAACTGTAATTACTGACTCTGATTAGTTAAAAATTGAGTCATACCTTTTTTATCTACTATGTTTGTCTCACCCACCTGTTTATCGGGGGCTTCAGAGTGAAAAGTCTTTAAGATATATACTGTTGCTTTCTATACGTTTATACAGCACCTATCACAAGTTTCACCAACTTAGATGGCCTTTGAGTTCTTCACAATATTAATATTTTAGAAAAACAGCATCAAAAATGTCAGTAGAGAATAGTGACAGTTTAAAAGACAAATTCCTGTGAAAGATTAAAAGAATCTGTGAAAGGTAATATAAATAATATTCCTAAAAATTTAACAATGTAACTATTTAGAAAGGCTTGAAAGACTTATAGGGTGCTTATAACTTACCTGGCTTCCTTCTTTTTGCCAGAAAACAGCTGGCTGGGGATTTCCTTTAGTTTCACAAGGAAAAGTCACTGTTCGACCCTGGGCTACAATCTGGTCTCGTGGTCTCACCACAAACTGTGGGGGAGCTACAATGTAAGAAAAACCATGGTGTAAATTTAGGATATTTTGCAAGGGGGAGATGAGGAATATTTAAGGAAAGAGACAACATTATGGAGATTTGTTTTATGCCAGAGGACATAACACCAGAAACATTAATTGGTATAGACAGAACTAATATATAAACAAAAACAAGAACAGCAACAAAAAGAGCAGCAACATCAGTATGTGATATCCCCGGTTATAAAAAAAAAAGAAAAAGAAAGAAACATTACAACCATACATGCTAGAGTAAATTCTGATGACAATAAATGCTAAGGAGCAGCAGTCAGGTGTTTATGATGCCGGCTGTGGATGTATTCTACCTTTCGTCTGGGCAGCTATCAGCACTCTCATACCCTCCACACTTCACAGAGCTTGTTGTTGTGCCGGAGCTATCGTGTATTGCAAGGCATGAATTAGGATATACAGACTGCCTTTTTCAGTCTGCCCCTCTAGACTTTTAAAAATGGTTGAGGAAGGAGAGGAAGGTCTGGATGATAGCAGAAGGACAGAAGTTCAAGAGCTCCCTCACTTCTCTCAGTGGTAGTATGGTTGAGAATGGAGTGGGAAGGAGGATTTGCTGTAAAAAGAACAGTTGCTAAAACAACACAAACCAGGGAGATCCAGATTTCAGCTTGTGTAAAGACAAGAAAGAAGCAAGAGTTGAAGAATTAGTGGGCAGCAGTGAGTGGTGAGTAAGAAGGAATAGGTATTCCAGGAGAACAGGAAGCGAGAAGGAAAAGAAAAAAGGAGAAAGTGGCGTTAAAACAAGAAAGAAGAACCAGGACTGGCTATGTTTTCAAGTAGATGGCATTGTGTTCAGACATAGGGGACCAGGAAGCACAGTCAGAAGTGAACAATTTCTAAAAGAGAGGTGTAGTTCTACTTGTCTGGGGGTATTGATAGAGAATAGAGAGTCAATGTTTAGTGGGAATAAGAAGGGAGAGAAAAGGTGTTGATGTGCAGAAGGAAAGTGGGGAAGAAGCAGTGTTGGAGGATTTGAGAGAAAAAACTTGACATCAGCGACTATGTTGAGCATGATGTGATAAAGCAAATGACTTTCCTATGCATGACATGCAAACCTTCCAGTCTTAGTTCAACATTGGAATTCACTGGAATTGGATTTATACTATTTGGCGTATCTTAAAAATGTAAGCAGTGTCTCCAAATATTCTCATCAAAAGACTAGCTAACTTTTGGGGCAGGCTGAAGAAGGGCACAAAATAATAACAAAAAAACCCACATTAATTTTCTTCTATTCCACTATTGATTTGGTAGTTGTGGAGAGGGATGGTTTAGGAACACTAAGCTTTTAGGTAAACAGAATTTAAGTGTTTTAGAAAACCATCTTTTCACCATTATAATTACAAACTATCTAATTAGGCACGAAGAGCAATCAAGACCCAGCTTCCGATTACACCTGCTGACAGCACAGACACAAATCTGCTAACCGCATAGAAATGTATGCAGATCTGATTTTTTTTAAATACACTTTACAGTTATCTCATGAGGTACTTCCCAAGGTTTTACAGATCAGCAGGAGTCTAAAAAACACCAGTTGAATAGCACTGGTTTAATGCATTCTTAAAACAAGAAGGACTGCAAAGCACTTAATAAACATGAATCACCATCAATTTAGAAGGCAGAGGGTAAAGACAACATGAGGACTCTTCTTTCTGCCTCACGTTCCTAAGCACATGTTTTGACCCATCTGGAAAGAGAAGCATCCACCTCTTCCCTGGGCCTCAGCAGGTCTTCTGAAGGGGCAGGGACGAAGGGCCAGGTGCCCTGCTGCTGCCTGTTTATACCCATATGTTTCGAGGTTTCTATAAGAGCATAGGTGTTGCTACACATACTCTAGGATCCAAACTCATCCTGTACTATTCCTAAAGTGCTGGACTGCAGCAAGTTACTTGTTTTTCCCTCACCTTGTTTTACCTAGCATATCTGTATGCAATGACACCCTACAGGTGTCAGAAAGCAGTAATGTGGTAATCAGCACATGTGGTTGTTCATTCAATTATATGGGAA